CGAACAGCAGCTCCTTCCGAACTTCTCAATTCCCGAAATTACGAGAGGTGAATTTTTCATTTTTATTATTGTTGTGTTATTCTCTTTGCGTGAGTATCAATCTTCTTGTTATATATATTTTTTTTTTCCGATTGGTTTCTTTTTGGTGTTCAATTCTTGGGTTTGTCTGGTTTGTCGTTGTTACCCCCAAATTTCTTTTTCCTTTTTTGGCATGTTGGTAAGCTTGTTGATCGTCGTGTGGTGCGACAGTTTTTAGAATTCGTGCTTTTTGGATTTTGTTCTTTTGATTTTTAATTTTTCGATTTTATGTGTCTTTTTAATTGATTTCTGAGTGCAACTACAATTTGGGATTCTTTACCTTTTTACTTTCTAATTAGGGTTTTGGTAAAGAAATCTTTTTATTTGCCTAATGCATGTGTTAATTAACAACACATCTACAATCAATTTGCTCCAACCTGGGAGAATCATGAATTTTCATTTTCTTGTTTTATGTGCAATGGTGAGTGTTTAAACTAGATTTTTTAGCTCAAGGGGAAGGAAGAAAATGGGAAGATAAAAAAAAAAAATTAAGGAGCTGAGGGTTCTGTCAAGTTGATGCCTTCAAAATTATGTTTTACTAATTGATGCCTTCAAAATTAAAGTTTCAATTTTTGGTACGAAGAAATAATTTTGCAATGTTGGTTATATTCCCCAATGAGCTACCTTTAGATGGTATCATCAAGTGTTTTACTCCTTTCAAAGATCAAGGATGAGATTCATGTTTGGGCGCTTGATTGTTACTTTTGACATTGAATTTTATATTAGCCTTTACAGACTCCTTTTTCTTGTATTTGACTGAACTTGTATTGCTGTAGCCCATAACGGTCGGTGAGTTTTGTGCAGTTTGAGACACTGAGTGCCACATATTTATGATATCCAATTAAATTGAACATTAACTCAGGGACTCGCATGTTGTAGTCAAGCTCGCATGCCCTGTGATATGTATAGATGAATTACATTAAGTACTCTATGAACGACTTGTGTACTGCTGCCATTCCCATAAGTATTACCCCATTAGGCATGTTTCTGTTATTTAGTGGCGATCCTTTTCTTGATTATCTTATTCCTAGTTTTTAGCAATGGCACAATAACATGAGTAATTAATTCGTTAAGTTACTGGTTCAAACTTTACACTTTTGTGTTTGCAAGGTTGATTTATTTTGCTTCTTTCCTGATTCTTAGGTAACTGGCTCGAATTCTATTGGTGCTAGTTGTGGCATTGTTAGGAAAAATATGTCCCATTACGCTGGGTACGTGGAAGATGAATATGAAATGGAAGATGTAGATGATGATATGGATGACGAGTTTCGTGGTAGAGAAATGGGTGGCTCAGATTCTGATGTTGATGAATATGACTACTTGGTTTGTGACATACCTATATGCTTTATGAGATATATGACATATTCACAGTTTCAATAGATATTGTTATTTATAATCTTGCTCCCCTTTATGATATGGGTCTGTGTTCACATTATTAGAATTTTTTATGGGTGTTCAAGTTTCTTTGTGGTTAGTTTTGTTAATAAATATGAATAATTCTATGGACCTCATGCAGAATAGCAAAGCGGCTGATACAACTGCTGCTCAAGCAAGAAAAGGAAAAGACATCCAAGGTATTCCTTGGGATAGACTTAGCATTACTAGAGAAAAATACCGGCAAACTAGGTTAGAACAATACAAGAATTATGAAAACATTCCTAATTCTGGAGAAGGGTCAGGGAAGGTAAAGATTACTGTTTCCATTTTCTTTTAGACGTTATCAAATTTATTCAGTGATGTGGAATTGTCAGTTTTGACTACTAAGAGTAACTTGATCATGATTCTTTTCTCTTTGGCAAACAGGATGGCAAAGATACAAAAAAAGGATCTTTATATTATGAGTTCAGAAGAAATGCTAGATCAGTGAAATCAACCATTCTTCATTTCCAGGTGTGCTAAGGGCAAGTCTGCCTTCTTGGCTATTTTCTGCATATTGTGAATCTTTCGATGAAATTTTGTCACACTACAACAACAGCTATATTCTACCTCGTTGATTACTTACTAGGTTAATTACCTCGCAAAATTAGTTTTCGTTGCTCTTTCCACTCAAAGATGGATTGTGCAACACTTGTTATCTACATAGATGGAAATTCAGGGGCAATAGTGTGATAATAATTACAATCCAACATTGAATTAAACAAGCTCTCAGAACAACAGATTATTGAAATAGCTAGTTTGCATTGATAGAAAGAGTTTATGGGAGATGCACCTGATATTCTTACCTATGCTGGTTGTTTGGCAAGCATTTCACCTGATTAGCCATCCCATTTAAAATGCATTATGAATGGTTTCAAAAGTTGCAAGAGAAAACACCCAAGTCCTTGAGTCATAAGCTAAAATTTTTGAAATTAACTAATTAGCCAATTATCAAACTACTTTCAATCTACCTACACACAAGCAAGCAACACGGGGCTTGCCTTGTTACTCTCGACGGGTTTTGGCGTTTTGGTGTTATTAGCACAGCCCCTAACTTTGGCACTTTTTCCCATCATGTAGCCCCTTGAAGTGGGTTGTTTGACTGATGTTCCTTATATGTTGGTGATGCAGTTGCGTAACTTGGTCTGGGCTACTTCCAAGCATGATGTGTACCTTATGTCACATTTTTCTGTCATTCATTGGTCTTCATTAAGTTGCACAAAGTCTGAGGTTCTCAATGTTTCAGGGCATGTGGCACCATCAGAGGTGAGTGTTTTTTTGATACTTTGTTCGACATATCAAGTTTTTATTGGAACTGATCCATTTGTTCTTCCCATATAGAAACATCCTGGAAGTCTCTTGGAGGGATTTTCGCAGACTCAAGTTAGTACTCTTGCAGTAAAAGATAAGTTGCTAGTTGCTGGGGGATTCCAGGGGGAACTTATTTGCAAGGTGAGTTACAAATAATTTAAGTCAATTAAAAAGGGAAGGAGTAGATATTTGAGAATGAATGGGCATTTATTCAGCAGTAGCGTATCTCTTGTGCACTTGGTGTCTGAACACATCATATCTTCTCTTTCCTTTAGCTCCATGGGTGGTACTGCATATCCAATGGATCTGCTGAAAGGGGTTTAGCTCCACGTGATCCCTTTTAGTTTCATTATTTTTTTGTTTTTGTTTTCGTTTTGAAGAACTAATGAGCAGCTAAGCTGACAAATTTATGTTATCTTTGATTGGTCTGCAGCATCTGGATCGGCCTGGAGTTAGCTTTTGTTCAAGGACAACTTATGATGATAATGCCATCACAAATGCTGTTGAGATTTATGACAGTCCCAGGTACTTGCTCTTTTTATTAAGATTGGAACTTCTGATTTCTAAACATGAACTCAACTGATCTAGTGTCCTTGAATTTCACAGTGGGGCAGTTCACTTTACAGCCTCAAATAATGATTGTGGAGTGAGAGACTTTGACATGGAGAAATTTCAGCTTACTAAGCATTTCCGTTTTCCTTGGCCAGTGAATGTGAGTCTCCTGCTGGACTGTTAATTTCTAATTATATCTGGCTGGAATTTCTTTCATGGAGGGTCGTGCTTTTGTTCCTGCAAATGATATATGATTTTCTTTAGGCAGCTGTTTTTTAAGTGTGAATTTGGAAATTACATCCAATGATGATTTTATGTTGCGTAACATTTCACTTGTGGAGATCCAATCACTTAAAACGCTTCCTACACTCAACTTTACTAAACTGCCGTGCATTTCTATGCTTTGTTTGCAGCATACTTCTCTGAGTCCCGATGGTAAACTTCTTGCAATTGTTGGAGACAATCCGGATGGGATGTTGGTAAACTCTCAAACTGGAAAGGTATTTATCTTAGAATTTGTTAACTTACTTTGTTTTGGTGTTTATCCACCCGGGGCCTGGAAAAGGAAGTAGTGCTGATTTGGATGAGATTATTGCAGACAGTAATGCCTTTATCTGGGCACTTGGATTTCTCGTTTGCGTCAGCATGGCATCCTGATGGTATCACCTTTGCTACTGGTAACCAAGACAAAACCTGTCGGATTTGGGATGTTCGAAACCTATCCAAGTCAGTTGCTGTTTTGAAGGGCAACCTTGGTGCTATTCGGTCAATCCGTTATACTTCTGATGGCCGGTATATGATGATGGCAGAGCCAGCAGACTTTGTGCATGTCTATGATGTGAAAAGTGGGTACGAGAAGGAACAGGAAATTGATTTCTTTGGCGAGATATCTGGCATATCATTCAGTCCAGACACAGAGTCACTTTTTATCGGAGTATGGGATCGTACGTATGGTAGTCTTCTAGAGTATGGCCGATACCGGAATTACTCTTACCTCGATTCTCTTATTTGAGTTGAATATTCAACCTGCGAATAAGTGTGTTGGTGTTGCCGATTCCTCGGTGTGATTGCAGAGCTTAGTGTAAAACATATTTCATGCAGTTGATGAGGGTGTAGGTGTAAATGTAGTATTTTGTGGAATTGTAGCTCTGTTTTGGTGTTCCGTCTTTTTTCCCCCATAAATGTGTGTAATTGGGAGGAATGTACAGAAGGCTAAGGCAATGATGGTCCAAACAAATAGGAAAGAAGACCAAGGTGTCTTAAGGTGAAACAAGTTGGCTGTTTTCCCGTTAGAAATTTTATCTCAATGTGGGACTTATTATGTGAGAACCTATCAATCATCTAGTTGAGTTTGATATTCCTGTCTAATTTGGAAATTGAAAGTTACTGTCTGTTCTGTAGCTTCAGTTGTGGGTCTTAACTTCTGCTCTGAGAATTGTCGATGTTGAGAGCAGGGTTTAATCCATTATTGATGAAAATCCTTTAATAATGCTACAAATAAAATTATCCTGGAACTTTTGTTGTATTAGTTAATGATAATATAACACCCTTAAATTTTGATTTTTCTTGGGATGAGGTTTCCTTGATTAGCTAGCTCTCTAATAATACTCTGGCTTATACACTTGTTCATCTTGAGAGCCCTCTGCATCTTCTAGCTTACTTGACCGAATAGTTCCTTCCTTTTAAAGATATGAAAAATTGATATAGTGTGGTACGTAAAGGTTGGTAAACACTTGGAAACAGGGTCTCGAGTCTTGGTTGTTTGTATGAAGATTACTGCAGAAACATGGAACTTATAAACCTTTTTACTTCTTATGTGTAAATAAATGTATGGGAAGTAAAGAATTAAATTCATTCCAACATTTACCTGTTAGCAAACACAAAAGAAGAATGAATAGGAATTATTTCACTACTCAGATAGGTAAATATGACCTTGGATTGAGTTTATATTAATACACCACATGATCTAAAAGTTGGGATTCTCTGTCCTTGCTGCATTAGTCTATATTTACAAGTTGAGACACTATACAGAATTCAGAGGTAGCCAAAAATCTCTGATCCAGAAGGAACCAATAAAACAAAGCCAACTCACCATCCAAAATCTTTTTTCCATCCTTTCCATCCTCACAATCTCCACCTCTACTCCAATCACAACTGGTGGAGATATGACCCTTTTGCACTATTATACAAATCTCATCCCCTCCACAAGCCAACCTCTACTTTTATCATAATTCTCATAATCCAAACTCACAACCACACCCTTCCTCCTCTTCCATAATTAACAATGGCAGCCTCTTCCTCCACCTTGTTCTCTTCCCCAGCCATCTCTTCCACCATCTCAAGGAGCCATACTCACCAACTCTCACCAACCCAAATCTCCTTCCAAGGCCTCAGACCCCTCACCAAGGCTGCCCCAAGCACCAAGCTGAGCTTCAGTGCACCAAACACCAAGAGATCAAGTGGTGTTGTGAGAGCAGAGCTGAACCCATCTTTGGTCATAAGCCTGAGCACAGGGCTGTCACTTTTCTTGGGGAGGTTTGTGTTCTTCAACTTCCAGAGAGAGAATGTGGCCAAGCAAGGCTTGCCTGAGCAGAATGGAGTTACCCATTTTGAGGCAGGAGACACCAGAGCCAAGGAGTATGTGAGCCTCCTCAAATCTAATGACCCTGTTGGCTTCAACATTGTGGATGTTCTGGCTTGGGGCTCCATTGGTCACATAGTGGCTTACTACATCTTGGCCACTTCTAGCAATGGCTATGATCCCAAGTTCTTTGAATGATTTCATTCCATTTAAATCCACCATGTTGTGTTTCTCTCTTGTGTTGTAATTTGTATAGCTTATTCATGAATCACTAGTTGGGGAGGTTCTTTTGTTGATTTTCATTTTTAACTTCTTGAGTTTACATGTATGTGTTTTGTTGTTGGAATTTGGAAAGCTCTGTTGTGTTCTTTTTTGACTGAGATTGGAGAGCCTTCTGATTCTGTTAATTTGCTCCTTGCTCTACTCATGTTCTGAAAAAGCCTTCAAAGTGTATCTTAGAGCATCAAGCTTGCATTAACCTTAAGGCATCAACATAACAACTACTTGACACATTCTCTATATCATAGTTTTAAAATACTCTCTCTCCAAAATAACCCTATTTTAATTTTAGTTTTTTGGATAATTTGGGCAAAGATATTTAAGAAATTAAGCCAACACAAGCATAATTTCTTAACTCAAGTTAGACAAATAAGGGAATCTCCAAACCCAGCAATCTGAGAACTTTGCATATCTATGAATATATAATTTTATATTTTGTTTATGTATAATCATTTGATTTTTGGAACTTTTTAAGAGTTGAATTTACTATGCAATACTTACTTTGTATTTGAACCCTTGACCACAATTAGAATACAATCTTCAATGGCAGTGCTTCATAGCCCTCAATCTATTTCGTATAAATAATTTCACATAGAATAATAAAAATCTAGTTTAAAATGGAGTAAAAAAAATAAAGGATAAAACAGTTTTAGCGATGCTCAAGTCAAATGTATAGATGTCTATGGATGTAATATACGTCTATTATTCTTGTTGTTTTGGTTGGAGCCTATTGTTAATGTTTTGATAATCTGTAAACGTATTATCATCTGAATTGTGCTAAATCTCCTCCCATTGAAACAATGTTGATGTTTTTTTTTTAAATTTCTTCTGACCAAGAAAAAAGTCACCATCTTGATTTCCCTGACCGTTGGAACTAATTTACTCTTCCCATATTATCTACTTTAATTTACAACCCACCAAAAAGGAGGAAAAAGAAAAGATCTAAAAGTCACAGATAATCTTATTAATTTTGGGCAGGAAATACCTTTCTTCGCATTGCCTTCCCAAATTTGTGTGTTACCAAACCCATCAGGCCATCCCCATTCCCTTCACCAACCAAAAAAAAAAAACATTGGTTTCATTTATATCCTAATAAAGTTTCAATCTTTTTTTTATAAAGAAAATAAAAGTCTCAATCTTTTTTATTTTATTTTTTGAGAATCAATATTTAATTGTTTGGAAAGTTTTCTAGGTTAGCAACTTAGAATAGCGAGCATTATCCTATATCTTATATTGATAATGGACTAATTATATAAGGGGTCTGTTATCTTCTGGTAGGTTAGAAATAGCAAAAATAAATCTACCTAGTATCTTAATCTATCTTTACCCTCCTTCTGACTAAAAATGTCTGAGGCCCCAACAACACCAATTACAGAAAAGGAGCCTTCTTCAGCCATTTCAGCTCAGCAGCAACAAGTGCGCACTGAAACTGCTAATGGGTCTTCCTCATCATCCCTCACCTCCACTACCAAGGTTTATCCTCCGGCTACGGCTAAGTATGAGGAAGTCGTTCAAAGCTCTGACCTTTTCTGGGAAAAGCTCAAGGAGTTTCACGACTCTTTCAGAACCAAATTCGTGTAATCTGGCTTTGTTCCCTTTTCTTACAGCTTAGATTTTGTTTTGTTGGGTCATTTGATGAATTGGGTTGTTTTCGTCTTGCTATTTTGTGTCTTAATATGCTAGAGGAATTGATAAATTCTATGCTTGTACTTTATATATTGCCATTGTTTTTGCATGTTGCATACTTCAATTGATTGGTTTGATTAATCAAAACTATGTTGCCTAATCCTCGGGTTGAATTGATTGAATGGCGAATGACTGCATAATTCTGAAAATTTTGAACTACATTGCACAATCGTTTTGGGTGTTTTTAGCAAAATTAGGATCTTTATCAAGGAATTATGAAGTTGGATTCCATTACTGGATGTCTAGTCTTTATTTGAATACCATTATGAAACTTTTATGTCGTATTGTGCCTCTCTCTACCTGGGTTTCAGTTGGGGATGGTGGCTACTTGAGCAATACAGACATTTATTCCAATGCAATTCATCATTTCCACAACCCATCTGCAATACTGGCTTATATTATTTTTCTTTTTTCTTTTTCATTAGGAAGATTTTGTTTCTTTTCCAAGATCTGAATTTGGCATTCACCAGAGATGCTTCATTCAAGAAAAGTGATATTTCCCAAGTCTTCATTAATTGTTGGCTCCCTTCCATAACTTCAATAAGTGGGGATATAATTTTTCTCAGATGTCTACATTTGAGCTTTAAAAATTCCATCTATGCAGCATTACCATACCGAAAACACTCTGATACTGATTGCGAAACGGGACTGTGTTTGCTGGATCCAGGATTTGTGGAGAAATTAGGACTGTTTCCTTTTTTGGTGATTTGATAATTACTGCATATTTTTAGTATGCCATTGTTTCGGTGTCGGTACTTTTGAGCTGTTATTTCCTTACGTCTCTTCATTCTTATTTTGTGCTCTTGGTTTATTGGCTTATGCTTGCCAATTTACATTTGCCTAGATATTATTGCACAAGTTTCTAAGAGTGCTCCAGTAGACTTTGGTGGTTTTGCTACCTGCTGAAAGCATAAATATTTGGGCTGTTTGATAACTAGGAAATTTATCTGTGGTGGTTGATAAAATGCCTGAAATTGGGTGTTTTGTGAGATGTCCAAAAGGGTTTCTTCATTCATGTCATGTTGTGTAATTTAAATTCCTAATAGGTTAAGAATCAAAATATGAAATCTTTGCATGAGAAGGGGGTTACGTATTGAAGCAGGATCTGTCCTCTAGGATCATATTTCTGAATCCTTGAGTTCATGAAAATTGAGTGTGGAGTGCAGAAAAACAGAAAGTCCATGAGGATATAATTGATGCTCTTTGTGTAGGATACCTACCGTAGGAGGAAAAGCTCTGGATCTACATCTCCTTTTTGTGGAAGTCACATCTCGTGGTGGACTTGAAAAGGTTTGTGCATTTTATTTTTCTACTTAATGGTTGTTTTTATATGAGAGTCTTGAAGCTGAAATTAAACATATTGCTTGAAAAGTGGATCTTAACCTCACTTATCCTCTATTTAACTAGTTAGTATTGTCGAGTGTGCCTGATATGATTTACACTCTGTGTTTTGAACACTAGCTATGATGAATGGGGGATGGGGTCACAGCCGTTTGAACTTAGGCTGACTTATAACTATTAGTCTATTGGTAGTCTCAGTTAAGACCAAAGTAAGTTAGAGGTTTATGAAAGTGTCCAACTTTACGTAAGTTTTACCTATATTGATTACGTAAGTTTAGAGGTTTATGAAAGTGTTCAAAGTTCTCTTTTTCTTTTTAGGTTTTGTTTCCCCTTCAAATTCTCTTAAACTGGTTACAGGTGATTAGAGATCGCAAATGGAAGGAAGTGATTGTGGTCTTCAATTTCCCAACAACAATTACCAGCGCTTCATTTGTCTTACGGAAGTACTATTCGTCTTTGCTCTATCACTTTGAGCAGGCCTATTATTTGCACAAAGAAGTTTTTAGCATCCCAGTGCTTGGTAATTGAAGACATGGCTCCTTGTTAATTCTTTGTGTTGTTTCTTTTTGTAGATTAGAAAGATATATAATTTTTTTTTTCTTCCCAGAACCTCTTAGCAGGAACCTTTTGAATGGGTCAGCCACCCTGGAGGAAGGTGCCAGTAGAAACCAGTTTCCAGGTCAGGGTAGGTGTAACCTCCATTTCAATGTGATGGTTCTAGTAGTGGTTGTGTTCAATTTTTTACACTAATTCTAGAAGTAGAGTCATATATATGTATATTTTCAGTTTGGTGTCTATGTTAAACGGTGAAAGTTTCCAAATTGCCTTTCATTTGCAATCATAGAAGAAACCTGCAATTGACAGGTCTTGGAATCAATCATATAGAATAGCTGTTTCTGTAACCTTTTGAAGTCGGATAGTTGAATAAAGAAATTTCTCGCTAGTGATCGAGCTTTTGCGATGTCCCTTTTGAAATATCTTCTGAAAGTTGCAATGAAACGTTGTAAATTTTATTAGACAATCTGGATAAACCACATTGGAAACTTTATTAGCCATTCTGTCTTATAAATTGATGACTTTCTATAAGGGGTTCGCTTTCATCTTTCTAATTCTGTATTTTTATTTCCTAATTCCTTTGCCAATTTTTTCAGCTGGTGGGTCATGACCAAATTGTAATACGGATCTGTTTTTTATATCTTATGTACAGAAAGCTCAGAAGTGCAGCTTGGCTGTTCAATCATGGGAAGCATCGATGGGAAATTTGACCATGGATATTTGGTTTCTGTGAACTTGGGTTCTGACGAGCTGAAAGGTGTCTTGTATCATGCTCCTACATATGTTTCTCAGAGTTTTTCGGACATGCCCACTCGACGGAATCGAAAGAGATCCAGGTTGGCATTACGTGATCCCTCTCGGCCCAAGTCAAACAGGAGCGGGTACAATTTCTTCTTTGCTGAGCATTATGCCAGATTAAAGCCTTTGTACTATGGACAAGAGAGAGCCATCAGCAAGAAAATTGGGTTTCTATGGAACAATCTCACAGAGGCTGAGAAACAGGTATGATGAATTGGTGACACATTTTTTTTCCTGTTAGTTTCTTTTAGCTGATAGCATCCCGAAAGTAATGTCACACCTGCTGCATCCTTTAACTCACTCTCTTATACTTGAGTTCCGGATGATTTTGTGACATGCATAAGTATTGATCTAAGGTTTCAAGAGAAATTTCCACATGTTTGGACTATATTCATTTCCTTTTGCCTTGATTCTCAACCTTTCTAACTTCCTCACTGAGCCAATTTGACATATGATAAACTTGGAGTCTATCGGCTCAATCTTCAGGAAGTCATCATAACACTCCATTGCTACCATGCAGGTATATCAGGAAAAAGGGATGCAGGACAAGGAGAGATACAGGACCGAAATGCTGGAATATAAATCTTCCGGCAATTTAACACAACAGTAGCCTCCGTCTTGTCGGTTAGATAGGCTCCTGTTTCATAGGCATCATTTTCCTCCCTTGCGTGCTCTTGTTGTTGTCGAAGTAGTAGTAGTAGTTGTTGTAGTAGTAGCTACTCCCTCCGTTTAACCGCCTTTTTCCCGTTTCCATTTTTCTTTACTAAGGTTACCCCTCAGTGTGCTCGTCCGGAATAATTGCGGAAGGGGTGAAAGGGGCAGCTCTGTAACATAACTGTTGAATTTACCTTCATTTTGGATTAGCAGAACTTTATTACAGTAATAATCTTCATATTTGTTGACATTCCGTTGCAAAATAGTAATTCAAGTAGTCAACTTCTCTCTCGTGTGTGAGGTCAAAGTGAAAGTCAACCTATGAATTTTAGGCCAAAAGGAGATAGTCAAATATATGAATTGGAAATACAATTCACTGCACTGTTTACAACACCTGCTGTGCGCAAATCCCTGCAAAGCCTTTACTACAAATATTTTGGATTTATTTTATTTTATTTTTTACTACAATTTTATTATCCTAAATTATTTTTTTACTTCAATTTAATTTTTATTATTTTGGATTTCTATCTAACTTTAATCTCATTGTCGCATAACTTGTTTTATGTAATCCACTAATAAGAAAACTGTTTGGCTTAGGAAATGAATTGGAACATATATTTTTGGCCTTTCATGACGTGGTAAATATCCTATTTTATTTACCTTAGTTCCCCTCAAAAGAACCAGGCTGCCATGCCATGCAGAATATCCCCTATGCTGTTTCAATATTATTAAAAGGCCATCTTAAACTTGGTTGGCAAGGCATGGGAAATTTTTGAGTGTGAAATATAATTCACAAATTAAAAGCTCCATCAATCTGTATGGCTGTGATGGGATTTTCTTTTTCTTTTTCTTCTTGTGAAATTACATAGGACAACCACCTAATTAACCTGAACATGTTGGATCATTAGCCATTAGTGTGTCTCATAACAAGTATTCTTATTCTAGTGTTGAATTTTGCGTAATACACTAAGTATAAAAAATTGTATTTTCTCTTTTTACAAATTGACACAATACAGCAAGGATATAACTTTAATTTATAGCAATATATTGATAATATAAGTAGCCAATCATGTAGCAAGCTCTCACAAGAGTGCGTATGAGATGAGATGCACAATTTATGACGAAATTTACAACGTTACGTTATGTGTGAAAATTCGACACAGTGCATCGAACGAGCACACAAAAATACTAATGAATATGGAATTGTGATACACACTATGTCTGTTTAAATTGGGTAACATATTCTTCAAATATTTTCGATTGGGATTAAAATTAAAAGATTTGCAATGCCTTTTTATGAGTCATGTGCTTAACATCGATGAGCACCTATTTTAGAGGAAGATAAAGACTTCCCAAAGGATAAAAATCCCACATATTTCAAGAAACAAAATTATGGTATAGTTTTTATTTGAAAGGGCAGACATTGGCAATTTGGCATGACCCTCAAGCACTAATTTACCTACCACGAAAGGGACTTTATAATTGTTTTCATATTTGACACGGACTAGCTTGTAAGATTGAGCATGAAAGCTCCCTGGTTATGGAATTTGATTATTTGTACAAGGAATTAATCCATTTATCACACTTTTTTTCTGAACTCTAATAATATTCAAACAAATTATATATTTTTATGCCCAACAGGGAAACATAAACTGAGTTTTGATTGGCGTAAAGTGTTGTTTAGTCAATCCTTAAATAATATTACTAATTTAATTACGCGTTCATGAAACTCCAAACTCAATTTTTTGCTCTCAACTTTCCTCATAACCGTCTAACATAAGCAAAAACTTAGATAATAACCCTTTAATTAAGAAAAAAACACTGTGATTAGAGATAATATGTTGTAGCCATGAAAATTATGAATCCATCCATCTAATATCAACCCATCAATAACCAATTAAGCATAAAAATAAAAATAAAAATAAACTAATTAGAACATGACAAGTACTAAATTATCAACCCATCAATTTTAAAGAATTTTTTTATCATGTTACTAAGGAAGAACCAAATTACTGTTAGAAGAATACTTGCGTCTATGACTCGTGTGAATGTGAGTGATTGATAGTTATTAATTATTGTGGATTCCTCTCAACTTCATTTCTATTCATGCTTGTTTGGGTGATTAACACTAGCAAAACTCTCTTATCGCGAACACACTTTTTCGCTTAATTATGCGGAATGGAGTCACTAAGTCTAAGATAATGGTTGAAATTAACTAAATATACCATGGTATGTTCTATTTTTGTAAATGGCCCTGTCCTCCCAACATAGAACATACCATGTCCATGTATCCTATTTTTTCCTTTGTGAAGTTCTAATTTGAAAATCTTGTATGTCATTAAAGTTTTCAAGCCTAAATAAAAGTTAATTATTGATTAATAGATTGCAAGCTTAGCATATCTTTTTGGCTTTGATAGAGAAAATGTGTGAAATGATTCATTAACTTGGTTTGGATAAACTCTTGAATGATGATTAGCCATCAATTCTCATTTTCTCGAGAGTTTATCCAAAGTAATGACTTCCTTCACACATTTTCTCCATCAAAATTAAAAAAAAAGATATGCCAAGCTTAGCTTGTAATCTTTTAATTTGTAAGCGTGAAATATTTTAATGATATACAAGGATTTAAATAGAACTTTGTGACCCATAGAGAAAACCATTGACACCAAAAAAAAAAAAAAAAATCCTATATACCAAAATAATGAATTCTTTTCTCTATCACAACCAATATCTTTCACGCATTTTTTTTATATCAAATTCAAAACCAATATAATAGACTTTGTTCTATCAAAATAAAAGAGTTTAAGAGCTGTTAATTGGTTAGATAATGCATAAGCAATGGACTTGACCCAATTTTAAAATCATTGCTCATAAAATCCCACTCACAGTCACATACATACATTTTGGATTAGCTTTTTTTATATATATATAATTTTTGTTTTAGTACAAGCAATAGTCTAAAACTACAGGGAAATGAGATTTCTCACACACACACAACCAATATGGCATTGAGGTTCGAACCTAAGAATTCTGTATTGCAAGTCAAGACCCTTTCAGCTGGGCTAGATCCCATTGGCTATAGGATTGTCTAACTTGCCTTAAAATTGACCAAACAAAAAACTTGCCATAAACATGGGGGTTAAAACTTAAAACTGAGGGGTAAAATTGGAAACGTGCATGGATGCCATTGAAAGGGTTGAGAAACCGCGTGGAAACAAAAAGATAGAGGAAATAAATTGCAAAAATTTCTCCGGTGATTAATAATGACATGCATTAAAAATAAGAGATGGCGATAAGCACGGATTTTGAAACTAACCCGAGAAAGACTTCCCACTTTGCAAGGTTTCTTGCCCTTTCTCCCTCTCCTTGTTAGGGTAGGAAAATCCCAAAAAGATTTCATCCCAAAAAGAAAAATCAGAGAATTAATTAATTAATTAATCAATTAGTGCTTGCAAATGGTAATATTACAAGAAAATAATAATAATTTTTGGATTTTGAAGCCTAAATTATGTGAAAATTTGAGAGATTTCGGGTTGTTTGGCCTGGAGTATCTTCCAAGGAAAACCTCAAAATCAAAAATGGAATTTTTTTTTAATTTAAATTTTTATAAAGAAAATCTAAAAAGCCTTAATATTTGGGGCAGGTTTGGTGGTGGGTAGAAACTATATAGTTAGTGTTTTAGTGCCTCCTAAATAGTCGTAGTGAGTGGCACACTTGACACTAAACAGTAATTAGTTTTGTTTGGAGACTTGAAGTCTTTGAGTCTTCTAATTTGTGCTGGTTTTAGTGGTTATGGTTTTCATCACTCTCTCTCTCTCTCTCTCTCTCTCTCTCTCACACACACACACACCCAGTCAGTGACTCAAAATTTTATGAGAATTTGGAGCTTCTAAAAGAACGGAATTACAGGCCTAACAGTCAATTTCCCACGAACCAAAACTCACAAAAGAGCAGTTAAAAAACACATAATAATATTAATTATAAAGCTAATTAAATTAATAATATCAATATTAATATTAATCATCCTATGACAATTTGGTGACTTAAAAGACCAAAGGCCTGGCCAACTGCTGCAGAATTTGGAAAGCCCCTATCTTTTAGTCCTCTCTCTCCCACATCACTCTCTCTCTCTCTCTCTCTCATTCTCAATCTCTCTGTTAGCTCTTCTGGGTTGGTTTGGTTTCTCTGCTTCTTTCCTGAGCTGTTTCATTTGGGCCTTATTTTGAGCTCTAATCCATGACATCATTAGCTGGAAGCCACAGAGTTTCCTTGTTTTCTTTCCCCTCTTAGCGTTCTTGATTTTAGGAAGGTCAGGATTTTCAGGACTATAATTACCTTAAACAAGATTATGATCAAAGATGCTTAATTTGCTTCTCAGCTAAGCTACCCTTTTATATACATATAATCTCTATCTCCTTGTAGGGTTTGTGCACTCATATATGTGCTTCTTGCTCTAGCTCCCTCCTTCCTCCTACCCACCATATCTTCTCTCTGTTTCTTTTCTTATCACCCACGCACCAAAAAAAGAAAAAAAAAAAAAGGAGAGAGCTTGATCTTCATAATCCTCAGTAGCTGCGGTTTCACACATATTGTTTTTCTGAGCTGGGTTTTTTTCTCCAATGGATATTGAAGACCAAGAGACTCGGTTTCGGCCACGAGCTGGCGATCAAGAACAACAACCCAACAAGAAAACAAACCAAGAGACAGAGAGCAACAATGGAGGACTGTTTGCCAAGCTCAAGTTCCCAAAGCCAGAACCTTTAGACCAAGAACGCAAATACCCTGCTCCTCCTGAATTCACTCGAATCTGTGAGGTCTGCAACAAGGGGTTTAGCTCAGGTAAGGCACTTGGAGGTCACATGAGAATGCATGTTCAAGCAAACAGAGAACTGTTTCAGGCTCGCAAGAACAAGATTCAAAAACCCAACAAGATTCTGAAGCCCAACAATTCTGATGTTAGCAGCTCGAATGGTGGTGGGGATTTTGGGGTTGAAGGTAATAGCAATAGCAATAGCAGCATGAAGCCTGATTGCTGTGTTTGCGGCAAGAACTTTCCGTCTATGAAGTCGCTGTTTGGGCACATGAGATCACATCCTGAGAGAGAATGGAGGGGAATTCAACCTCCTCCAACAATAGCCAAGAACAGCTCTTCTTCTACTTTATCAGATGCTGTGCCTCAGAATAACAATAAAGCTGATGATCATCAGATTGACTCTGCTGCTACTCCTGTTGGGTCCAATAATTCTGCTCCTGATCTGTCCAAGACTCTGCCTGGTTGGTCTCTCACTGCTAGGAGAGGTAGGAAAAGCATTGGCTCATCAGGCAACTCTGAATCTGTTTCGGGATTGGATTTGAGTCCCGGAGTTGAAGAGCAGATGGAGGAAGCTGTTCATGATCTTTTGATGCTAGCTCAATCCAATCCGTGCTTCTATGGATTGTCCGATAAGGGAAAAGGAGCTGAGATGTGTGAGGCTACTAACAGCAATTTCTTCATCACCAACAACAGCAACCAGGCTGATTACATCAAGGACAAAAACCAGGTAATTGATTATGAGGGGACCTCAAAGAAGAGAAAGGGAACTGAGATGTGCTTTCCATCCAAGAACATGAAAAGTGAGAAAAAATGGTTTGATGAATATGATGGTGTGAAAGGGAAGGGTGTTTTGGGAATTGGGTTTGGTCCAGAAAAGTCATCAGTGAAGAATTTCTTGAAGTTCGGACCAATGGAGGACAACAAGAACAACAACATTGAAGAGGAATTATCAGACAGTCAGAACTCTGAGAGCATTGTGCTTGCCAGCATGAAGAGGAGGAAGAGGAGAAAGATGAAATTGGTAGACTTGGAAGGAGTGGTTGGAGAGATTATTGGTGCTCAGGGTCATCATCAAAGTCTCCATCAGAAGCTCAGATACAAATGCAGTCTTTGTGGCAAGTCTTTCCCAAGTCATCAAGCGTTGGGCGGCCACATGTCCAGCCATAACAAGCTCAAGAACAACAACAACAACAACATCATGAACCATTCATCTTTGGATGATCAATCTGCCTCTGCTGATGTGTCAGCTGCTGAAGGTGGGCATAATCTTGATGAAGCACAAACAACCATGGCACTTGATCAAGATCATCATGTGGCTGGTGCTGGCTCTGGCTCAGGAGCAGGAGGACTAGGAGCTCATCAAGCTCATCAAGCTCATCACCAATGCAAAATCTGCAACAAGATTTTTCCAACAGGTCAGGCCTTAGGGGGTCACAAGAGGTGCCATTGGACTGGGCCCACTGAGCAGCTGCTACCTCAGTCCAGTCAGGTAGCTTCACCAGGTGAAGCAAGCCAAAACGCAGGTCGTAAAGTTCTCAACTTTGATCTCAATGAGCTTCCAGCTATGGAGTGTGAAGAAGGTACAGATCAGTATGGGGCAGCTGGATATGCAACTTCTTCTCACAATTCAGCTACTTAGTCAGCTGAAGCTGAGATTTTTTCTTCCGAGTCTCTGAGTCTCTTTGGTGACGGTTTTAGGATCACTCTTTTGCAGAGGTCAGTAGCAGCTCTGTTTTTGGTTTTCTGATAGTTGAGTTAGTTTTGTCTGGTAGTGTAGTTTTTGCAGCAGTGAAAGGCACTTGCATTAGAAACCCTATGTAGTTTCCACATTGCTCAAAGTGGGGTCATAGGCTCCTTGTCTTTTTATGCTAATTTTCTTCATGTAAAGCATGAATGATGGTGCTCAAGGGTTTTCGCTTTAGTGAAGGAGGTTTCCAAATGGTCCTAGTGTTTTTACTTTGGGATGGAGATCATGTAAAGATTCTGCAATTCTGCATATATACAGTCTTCCTTTTTGTTCACATTAATTTCTCTTCTTTTTCTCTCATTAATTTTCTTGTTATAATCATATCTCAAATCTAATTTTCTTATTGAGTATGTGTGTGTGCATTTGATTATCATTTGTTTATTGGTGATGTGAGGCTAATAACATAGCACTAAGTATGTAGTGGAGGTCCAGAACAGGTAACCATTTTTTTTCTAAAAGTCAAGAGACTTCTCTTCTTCCCAATAGGAGCTTTCACCCATTAACCTTGTTGGCAAGATGAACCAGTCTTTTTCTCTTGCTCCATATAAAGTTTTCTTTAAGAGGAACCAAGAGAAGTATCCAAAGTCTCTAAAAGCAACTTGTGAGAGTTTGGGAACTTGGGTGTATCTTCCACATAAACTACTTGTGGGGTCAGTTTTGAAAAGGTCCTGGTGTACTGATAGAGATGTAAAATATCTTTTTCTTTTTTTTTTCCACATCATCATATAATTTAATTGCAAAACATGATTTAGCCTATTTTTTTAAAACACACAATTGTTAATTCCTCTCCAGCTTGAGCTTTATAGCATCTATTCTCACTTTATGTGAGTATTGTGACCAGGTCAGCATAAGAATAAGAGAAATAAACCAAAGTGTCTAGATTCATGTATATTACTCGCGTATATGTATAAATATGTCAAAATCTAAAAGCACCTCATTGACACACATGAAAGGTTATGCTAACATGTATTTTCACATTTGTAAAACTACTTTTCTCTCGTTTTGCTTACCACACTTCTCATAGAAACGAAACCGGCTTGTCTAAATATTTCGCACTTGTAAAGATGGGTAAGGTTAGTTGGCCAAAATAGTGTTTCCGCCGTATTGCACTCGAGTTTGAAACATATATGCAAGTGTATGTTCATTCGCATAGAAAAATATCAAATGGGCTTCACATAAGTTACATTGTATAGCGGGTACAATATGACAACTTATAATGATAGTGGGGAAAGACTGGGACTGTGAGTCTGCGAGGGGTGGGATGCCTTAGCATTTACATTTAGCGTATAGAAGAAAAAAGGGACTATAGCTCAACTGTTTTCTTGACAAATTCTCGTGACCTCAAACTTTCTATGCAAAATCATTTGACTTTTATATCCATTGCCACCTTTCTCACGCCATTTTCTTAACTGCCAAACAGTACCAATGTCCCATAATATATATGGGGCCAACTCTAGCTTGCTTTCGTGCCTTTATGTCATTGGTCCTAGGATACAAATATATATTATATTAGTTTGGATTAATTATTGATTAAAATATTTTCTAATTAATGCTAAAATTCTGTTTCTTGCACATGATTCTTTTTATATACATTTCCTTCTTTTGGTGGGATTCTTGTACTTGTCTCACTTTATCCACAGTCTGATTCTGATACTCATCATTCATGTACAGAACGGAGGGTTGGTGGTGTTCTGTTTTCATATCTTTAAATGGCTTTTTACAAGAAATTAATAGAAAATAATTCATTTTGGAACATTTACAAATTTAGCTTCAAAGTCAAATAGTAATAGTTGTTTATGCAGCTCTAGGACTTGCATGTTTAAGAAATTAGCACATGCAATGCTGTGCTCGATTATATATGGATGCAGAAACTTTTTCTCTTTAAGTAAGGGCTTATGTATTACAATTAGTGACAATATTATGAACCACAACTTTCGTAGGAAAAATTGTTAATAAAACGTATGTCTCGTAGCATGACTAGTTATTATTATAATATAAGCAACATACCTCTCATAAACGTATAGTGCACGGGCTATTTATATGAGAGATGTAATTAGTAATATGGTAAATAACATACATAAACGTATGCGTGTTAGATTCAGATTCACAATCTTATGCCATTTATTAGGTCGTGCATATTGTATTGGTGAATGTATAATACTTGTGATCAATAAGTCGTCATACATTGTATCTAATAAAACTTTGAATCCAAATTTAAAATCTTACGCCATTTACAACATGTGCATTCGTAATAATGAATGAAACAATATTCAGCTTCACAATCGACACAGAAATTTCGGCCTTGTTTGGTATTCAACTTGAATCCAACTTTGTAAACTCAAAAATAGAATTTGAGTCCAAAACAAAGAAAACATGTTTGGTAGCCCTATTTTTAAAAACTCAAACTCAAGAGCAACTAAAAAACACCCCAATTATTAAAAACAAAAAATATATGTTTTTTTCAATTTTTCTTCTAACAACCCACAAGTTCTCAAATTTCGAAGATTTGAAAATAGTTTTCAAGTTGCATACCAAATAAGTTTTTGAATCTTGAAAATAGATTTAAGAACTCCTTGTTTTTAAGAAAATCAAAATTTTTGAGTTCCCTATTTGAATAGGATACCAACCGCCCCCTTCTATTTTTCTTTGCCAATCGATTGACATATATATATGGCTTGAAATTATTTCTTCTTGGGTTTTGTGAAATTATTTAAGAGCATTTACCTATGCATCTGAGGTATTATATTCGATTTCCCCATCCCTCAATATCGCTTGTATATAAAAAAAAATGTTCATCTATTCTTTACAAACTTAACTTTTGAAGGTCCATGATTATCCAACATAATAGTGTGAGTGAGTTTTGGTTGCAAGAGGTGCTACGTTCAAAATCTCATGTTCTTTGCTGGTTTGGAAAATGAAAATTAAGGCCTTATTTGTTATCTTACTTTAAAAAGTAAATTCATAAACTATGATTCTTTTTAAAAACATGAGTTTTCAAATAGTGTTTGGTATTAAACTCCAAACTAGCTTGAAATTAAAATCAAAAAATCAGAAACCCTAGATTCCCAAATTGAAATTAACAAAAGAAAAGGAGAGAGAGAGAGAGAACTATAAAACCTCACTTTTTTTGTTTTTAATAATGGGGTGTTTTTGAGTTTTTCTTGGGTTTGAGTTTTTAAAAATTGGCCTACCAAATGAGTTTTTGTGACTTTGGACTTAAAATTTGTTTTTGAGTTTAGAAAATTGGATCAAAGTAGGATACCAAACAGGTCCTAAGTTACTTGTGAGAGCTAAAGTTAGCTTCATGTACATTATTATTTCTTTGTTTAACAATATAACTGCTATAAATGATTTTTGTAACCGTAGTTACTACTCAGCATGTGGAGAAATTCTAGAGTGACAATGTGCAACTATTCAAGCATTAGAGGCGGAATGATCACGGGACCGCGTGGACATAGTAGATACAATACAAGTGGTCTCCCTTTTTTTGTGAGAGCAATCGCATCGCATGGTTAACGCGATCAAACCGCTCCATCCAAAACTTGCTTCGGAAAGAGAAACAGGAAAGGGAATGAGCAAAGGAGTTGGATGCCGTCATGCTGGAGTAAACTCTCCTACTAGGCTCCTCCTAGGGTAAAGTACAATTGTGTCCTTGGAAATCTTAAAGCAAACGCAATATACGCGTCATAGTTGTTTGTAATTTTGTACTCATCCTCGCCATTCACGCCATTTTAGGCTTCAACTCCAAATTTGCCGTCTCGTCAGCAAATCTAACAAAACCTTGCCTTGACTTTGAACCCTGCCCTTAAACAATAAAATACTAGTAGAGTAACATTTGTATCTACTAAAATTATTAATCAGTAGAGTCCAGTCCAGTGAGATGGTCATGGTGACATGGTGCGCCTCAATTGAGGACTGAAAATGATGAACCTAGTAACTAAGAAATTGAAAGATATAAAATTCTTAGCATATCACATTATATGTATTCCAGCCTTTCTTTGTCTTGGCGCATAAGTTATGAGTAACACAACATGGACCGAGGACCAGAGTTTATATATTGTCCTTCCAGCCTTCCACTAGATTTAGAAAATATACCCACAATACTTTCATCACTTTATAAACAACAGCCTAGTCAATTCTTTTCGCAAGCAAAACCAAGGGAGAGCAACCCCAGCTTTGACCAAACATTGTTGCGACTAACTACGGCGGCACCAATAATGACAATGACTCTTAACTTAAACCATCTCCTCTCAAAAACACACATGAGACCTGCAAACTATGGTACCAAAGAACCCACAAACTTAAACTGATTCAGTGTTCCTTCAATTTCCAATAACACAACATCCAACAGGGTAACCAAATTCAGCTTGGGAAGGTAGAAAAAGCTACAGCCATTTATGAAAAATTTATAATTTTGGGATGCTTTTGTTCCTAGAAAAAAAACAAAAAAATTACAACATTGTTACAAAAAGAAAAACATAGAGAGAGAGAGAGAGAGAGAGGAGGGAAGAAAAAGGTTCTACATGACAAAAGATAAAATTTAACATTCAAATATTTGCCTAAAGAGGTTGAGAATACACAAAAAAAGGGCATTACTAATCACAAACTCAGGTGGGTACAGCCACCCCTTGATGGGGGGTCTGCAAGGAAAAAAACCAGACGGCTAAGCCCAGCAATATCATCTGAATAAAAAGACATGAAGTAATCTTACAAAACCTCTTCTGCATAGTGAAAACCTCTTCAGTCGCTACAATATCTCCACCATATTTCCCCAACTCCTCTGCTCGTTCCTTTAGCTTTGCAGCCCTAATTTCTGCTTCTCCAAGCTTGTTCAGCATCTGTGCTTGCTCTCCAGCCACTTCTTCTTGCTCGTCAAGTAGTGCAATTTGGCCACCTGCAGCAAACTTCAACCTCTGTGTGGTTCTTTTAATTGCAATATACTCAACCTGAGCTTCAATCATTTGCCTAAACAGGCCCTCAAGTTCAGTCTCCAACTCTCGATATTTTTCCTCCTCTAAATCTATGGTACTACCTGATTCTTCTTTTGGAGACTTGCTAATGTTAATCATATCTTCGAGTTCAGCAACCCTGGACTCCTTCACCTCAAGCATAGCCCTACTCTCATCCAACTTGCTTTCCAAAAGCTTCACACTTTGTTTCAAACCTAAGACTTGCGCTTCCAAGGACTTCGAAGAAGTTTGTCCAATCTTTTCAGAACCCAAATGGTCAGATAAATTTGATTCATTGATTCCCGGATCACTTGAAGAGAGGTCAGCAGGTATACCACTACCATTCACTGAATTATCACCCGGTGATAAAGGTTCCTTCCCAATCTCCCCGAATTTCTGAACCTCTGCATGAGGACACATAACTCCGTTAATGTCATGTCCTAAAAATAGCCATAACAGCATAGCAGAAATTCCCCGAAAATAAAACAATATTCTTAGAAAGCAGTTGCAAGTAGTTTCAGCAGGAACAAAAACCCATGGCTAATAAGGAAGACAGACAGTGGTAAGTTTCAATTTTTATAAAGCATGCAAGATGGCTCTAAATAGGAGAGGGGTAAAATCAATGAACCCACCAAAAAAAAAAGGTACACTAACCAAGATGGATGGTACAAGACACAAGAAATAGAAAAATACTAGTTCCCTTGAACTGAGAGCCTTCATTAGAGAATAGGAAAGAGAAACAAGGGATGACATTACATCACCACTTCTGACTGTCTAAGAATATCAATGAATGCCAAACCAAAACTTCAATGAAGTTACCAACAAGTTAAATCAAGATCTAGGCTCCTCAAAATGATTATGTATCAACCGTAAAGATTCACCACATATCCTATCATACACATGGGGCACTTAAAAGGTATTTCACAAACACTCTTTTGTTTGTACTACAGGAAAGAAGATCCTCTAAACTTGATGGAAATTCTACAAAATTTCTTTTTTCATGGGAAAGGCCGGGACAATTTGTCATTACCTAATTGCTAACATCTCACAAGTCCAAGTAAAGATCTATTAAATCCTTCTCTAAAACTTTTTAAGGATCTGAAAGAAAATTCTCTTCCATAAATAAGAGCACTTTCAAAGCAATGGATAAGAGTATTTCTATAATCTTTAGGAAGACATTGGAGGCAATAGCAATTGGTAAAAAGTTATGAAAAGCTCAACCCATAAGGTGCAAACAGAATTCCCTCTTATTCAACCCCACCTGAAGGACAAGAAGAAAGTGTTGAGGAAAACAAGGCCATAGTTGCTGTGATACCATAGGATAACAAGGCAGCTGTACAGAATACAAGAACTATGACATTGAATCAAAGGAAAATGAAGGAACTTGCCACGTGTAAAAGCACCAAGGAAAAAGTACAAAATAATTTTTTATTTATAGAAGACTAGCATATGGCTGCCATGGAAACTGTTGATTACATAGTCTGCAGACTTGAGCCTAGTTTTCTCCTTTTCTCTGCTCTCTCTTCTGTTTCTCTTTCTCTATGCTACAACGAATTCTTAAGTAAAACATATACACATAAAACCAGAGTTACATGTTATATAACCAAGTAAAAGTCTCTAAAGAAGATAGAATCTTTTTTCTCTTCCTTTTTTTCAGCCTTTATTTTCATTTAAGGATATCCCTCAAATCAAGAGGTCCTACAGTCTACTCTAAAGATGACCAAGAAAATTTACTTGCCAAACAAAGATACTGTACATGTCACTTGAATTCCTAAATCTATACCCACTACAGCACATGGATCCAAAGATGGCCGATGTGTAAATAACAATGGAAAGAAAAATAAACTTTGCATGTTTATGAGAAAAATTTACGTGATTAGCATTTAGCAGACAACACAATTTTGCAAGGCCAGGTTTTCCAAAATAATGTTTCCATGATTTTAACATTTATTGTATTAATTCTTCTACCTTCTCCAGATCAGCACAGAAAGTAGTTAAACAAAAAAATTTGAGATAGTCAATTAACAATATGATGATCAATCAAATTTACGAGAACACCAACACATTTTCAGAAATATGTCTGGAAAGCAGCAAAGCAAGATAATAGTACGATTGTCATAACTTTTTTTTGTTTAATTTTTATCTTTTAGAGGTTTCAGATAGACTAACCTTTAGCAAGTGCTTCTTGTACAGACTGGAGATTAAGGATAGACTCAAACAGAGGATCCTGATCTTTTAAGGACCTACGATTCTTATTTTTTTCACCCTTAACCTTCCATGGCAAGTCTGCAAGAAAGTCATCTTGAGAAAAAACTTCAGCTTCTCCTACATTCTCTTTGCTATAACCAGTTTGAACTTCTTCACTGTATTGTTGTTCACTTGCATGAACTTCATCACTGTTTTCTCCGTCATGACTCATTGACCTTCCACTTTGCTTCCCGTTACTAGTCAGAATTGGACTCTGAATAAACACATGGTTGGAGCTTCTTGAGTCAGATTCCACGCTGGAATAAGAGTTTTCCTTCTCAACCTTGACCCCGTCTCCTCTATGCTTCTTACTGCTTTCAATTTGTACCCTTCCCTGTTGGGCCCTTTGAGCTGAACTATAAAAACTCTTTCCACCGGTACTCTTCATCCTGTTCTTCTCCCTTGCATGCCCCAATACTGCAGGCAGCTCATACTTGGCCTTTGGAACACTGGCAGCTGTAGAAGACTTGCTACTCCGATCCTCACTGTTCTCAGAATCTGCACCAGCAGCAAATGCAGAACCCACAGCAAATCTGGAATCAGAACTTGAACCATGAATTGCAAAGCCATCAACAACTCCCACATTTCTTAACGTATTCACAGATCCGACAGAACCTTCACTGTTATGATTGATTTCACGGGGTGAATTCTTAGACTTAACTGGGTTTCCATTACCAGACAAACCCCGCTTCAAAACTTTACTAGAATCATCAAATGCATTGTCACTATCATCCCTAGAAAAATTTCTCTTAATCCTCCTCCACTTCTTTAAGCCAAGCCCTTTGACGGTGGGAGGTGAACCCCCACCGGGAGAGTTGGCAGCCGGCAAAGTCGAATTCACTGGCTGTGCAGTGTCAACATGATTAACTCTAGTATTTGCTACATTTTCAGTCACATTAGCACATGACCCATTGTTCCTGATCTCATTACTACCATCATCATTATCCTTATCATCAGCATGGAACACTGTTTGTGGGTTTACTTCATTATCTTCCACAGATTCAATTTCCAAATCCATAACTAAGAAAAATTCAGGGTCTCTCCCTCACACCCAATTCAATGAGATCATCCCATCTCATGGCCCAAATCTAGCAAATATGAAAATGGAAATGAAATTTCGATCATAAATCATAACATACTTATATAAATGAGAGAATATACAGATTCAGAGTAATCAATGGCTGAAAGATTAAAGTTTGGAGAATTGAATTCTGAAAATCAACATGAAAGGATGAATTCAAAATATCGGATTATGGGAATTCGGAACTTACCGTTAGAATTATTAACTAAAGCTCAGAAGAAGATGCAGGTGATGATAAATTCGAAGGGCATTGGAAACCCTAAATTGTGATCGGATTTGCGGTTTTATAGCAATGATATTTAATTAGGAATATTAAATTGTTATAATTATTAATTAATAACGATAAAAGAAAGGAATAAAGAGGGGCGAGATGGAACGTGGGGGAGACTGAGCAAGGCCACATGCACGAGGGTGGGCCCATACCACCATTGGCCACCGCTGTATATGACAAGGTCGGCTGCCTCTTGTTTGTTGGTAATTTTGTACGGGATTCCAGTTTTGTACAGGGGTCTACTTATTACCCCAAAACTTTCTTAATTATTGTTTTATACTTTTATTAATCAACTCAATTGTCTGTAGATGGTTATGATGAGAACATACCTTTGCACAAGGTTCTATGTTTAAATCTCTCTTCATTCCTCTAATATTTATTGCGGAAAAAAAAGAATTGAACTCAACATAATTGTATACAAATTTACTTTCATATGTATCAAATTGTAATTTACAAAAATAAAGAACGTCGCTTTTTAAAAAAGAGACATCAATTTATTACTTTATTTGTAGTATTTTTAGTGGTTTGTGTACCAACTCTGGGCCATGTGGGTTCTAATTCTAAAGCATATTGGGCCATATTGTGATGGTTTGGCACTATGAAGAAGACCAAGGGCCTGCAACTCTCCAAGCTTAATATTGTGTTGCCCATATGGAAAACAAACTTGATTGATATATATATATATATATATAGTTATTCTCTGATCTAGATGTCTGTACGTTATTATTATACGGATGTCATTGTAAACAGGGAGGAAAGCATGATGGGGGTAGTAAAAAATACATAGCGTCCGCACGGTAATAACGTTTGGATGTCCATATAAGAGAATATATATATATTTTTAGCAAAATGGCATGCACCTACCTAACTCAGATTTCATATGCATTGTTACAGAGGGTCTATTTTCTTCTTTCCCAGACTTCAATATAATTTAATTTTACAAAAATTAAGTTTGATGGATGTCCTTGTATGTATTAGACTAATTGGGTCATGAAAACTCATCAAAGAACAAAATAACATGTGCAAAGAGAATAAACCCACTCTAACTTCAATTTTTCTGGTGTGCCATTTGCTTTGTGGTGTAAATGTAATCATGAGACAATCAAACCAGCAAGCAAGCATGAAAGATAGGAGAGTAATTAAATATACAAATCAGGTTTTAATAAGTTGGAAGACATATAAATACATTAAATCAGGTTT